GAGACACGAGAGGAAGTCACCTCTGGCATGCGTATCAGAAGTGTCCACGCTGCCATAATGAACCTGCCACCTCGCCTTCCCTGGGCGCTTGCTGGAGCCAGAACGGAAGCGGCCCTGGCCAGCCTGCACGCTCTTCTCTGGGGACTCTGCCCAGACGGAGGCTGACACCTCCCTGGGTACTGTGAGCAAGTAGATGTGCTGGAGAGGGAGGCTTTTCTGGTTGGGACTACACCCTTCCTCTGGGGGGTCCTACATGCAGGAGGACGAGGCAGCGGACAATGGTCATGGGTCACCAGTAAAAGTAGTTACCGTTGAGTGAACTCCAACTCATGGTGACCCCATGTGTGTAAGAGTAGAACTGTGCTCCATAGGGTTTTCAATGGCTGATTTTTCAAAAGTAGATTGCCAGGCCTTTCTTCCAAGGTGCCTCTGGTTGGATTAGCAGCTGAGCATGTTAACTGTCTGCATTACCCAGGGCCGCTTCACAGGTCACAGGACCATAGGAACTCATCTGGAGAGGGTCTTGGGAATCCCCTTCGAGGTCCCATGGCAGGGCATACCCTCCCTTGTCCCCACCACGGCACTTCTGCAGGATGGAGCCAGGCACTGGGATTCCAGGGAGCCCTGCATGCCCAGCCAGGGCACGGAGTTGCTTCTCTGCTCCGGCCGCGGAGGTACCAGCCTCTGTCTCCTCACCTGGGAATCGAGACCAGTGTCCCCACTCTGCTCGCCTCGGAAGTGTGAGTGGTGGTTAAATCTGTAGGCACCCCAACTTCTGACCCTCAGAGCTATCCCATGGAAGTCCCATCACGGGGACATTACCACCAGGAGGGGCACACAGGGAGCCCTGCGCTGACCTCTCGGGCTGGGCCACGTTTGCTTCTGCGTGGTGGTGCGAGGGTTCGGGGCGTGGGTTGATCGTGGGTAGGTGGGCAGTGTGGCTAAGAGCTCAAAGCCTCTCTGCAAGCCCAGTGTGTGCCCTGCCCCAACAGCGTCCCTGGGGTCGGAGCCCCAGGGTACTGCTGGGGGGTGGGGTCTGCATAGACTAGAGCCACAGACCCTCAGATACCCCAGGCCCAATGGGCAGCCCATGATAGAAATGTCTGGAGCCCCAAGAAGGATCTCCCACAAGGAGCCCAGCTCTGGGACCCTGCCCTGGTTCAGTAGGGCAGGTCACAGCCTCAGTTTCCTCCATCTGTGAAATGGGCCCATCTTGCAAGGAGGCAGGTATGGGCAGGCAGCAAGGTTCTCAGGGTGGGGGGAGTCCCTGACTGGTGGGAAATAACCACCCACCCTGAGCCCATGCTGCTCCTGGTCGCGTCTGTGGTCCGAGAGGGCACCTCTGGGCCCCAGAACCCGCCAGTGGTGGAAACATACAAGCTGGAGAGGTCTCCCGGGCCCAGGGGCTCTTGGTGGTTCCCAGGCTGGCTGAGGGAGCGAGCGCACCGGGCGGAGGAGGTCTCCACTTGAAACTCTGCCTTCCCACCTCCCGCGCCCCAGCCCCCGCCCCAGCACACACACACACACAGCTATTTAATTTTGCTCTGGCAAGAAATAATAGAGTCCTGTGTATCTATTACAGATGCGGGGAGATTGGGCCCCACAGGCTGCAGGCACATTCACAGCCCCACAAAGCCGGCTCCCATCGACGTGGCCTGCCATTACCCATTCCACGGGGGTAATAAATGAGCTGGCCGCAGCCTGCCAGACACCACCAGCCCAGATAACGGCTGAAAGGAGAAAATTAAATTTCGCTTTTGTTGAAACATTATGATTTATGTATTTGTAATATAGGCTGTGGTGGGCAATTGGAGAATAAAGATTGCTGAATATACTTCAGGGTTACTGATGGCACCGCGGACCCCTCAGAGAGCTGAGCGCAGCCCACTCCCCGCTGGAGTCGAGAAGAATGAGGAACTACCGTTTCCCATTAACCTGTTCATCCACAGGCAGGAGAGACGCTGCGTGGTCCCGGGGTGAGGGCCGGCCATGGGGAGCTTCGGATTCCCCCCTCCCCTGCAGGGATGGCAGGTTTGGAGCATGAATGCGGGGGGTAAAGAGATAGAGGAGGGGGTTCCTCCCAAGGGGGCACTACTTGGACCCGGGACTGGGCCTTCGGATTGCCCCGAGCCCTATCTGCACCTATAAAACTAATGAACTTCTTCCACCTCGCCCTGGAGACAGAGGTGCGTGTGAATACCCCCTGGTAATTTATAATCTTGTGGTCTTGGCCCTAATGCAGCAGTCAGAGCCGGCTTATCATGTTGTAGAATGTAATGAACTTGCTTACTCCTGGAGGCCGCGTTTCCCGCGTTTTCCGGGCCAGGGGGTCTGGGCGGCCGACAGCCAGCATGGGGGTGGGCTGAGGCTCCTCTATCAATGGGCCATCGTGTCCCTTCCTTAACGGACAGGGCAGGACCTGGGTGTGCCCAGGCCAGAGCCAGCCTCAGTCCCTGCTGCAGGGGGCCGTGACCTGCAGGTCTGGGGGAGTCGAGGGTAGGCCGGGAGTCTGGGTGGCAGACTGGGTTCCTGGGCAATGCCTCCCACCCAGAGCCCCTGCTGGCCCACCGGAGATCTCCCACCCTGAGCAGGGTCAGGTGCTAGGAAGCCAAGGCCCCATCCTCTCTTGCTCATCCAGAGCCCTTGATGTCCCCAGTGAGCTTGCTCATACGACATACCCTGTTACCCTGGAAAGGAGCTGTCCCCACCACAGATGGGACAATGGAGGCTTAGAGAGGCTGTGTAACCACACCAGGAGGGGGCTCTCCATCCACCCCGCCATGCTGACCCCTGCTTCTCAGGAGGGGCTGTCCTCAGCCTGGGGCTTTGGCTGGGGGGTGTCGAAGGCTCCTGGGACCCCTGCAGTCACACCCTGGAGGCAGCCCCTTCTCTCCTGTGTGGGCAGAGGGGTGCCCAGCCTTGCCCGTGCTGGGCACAGGGAGGTTCAGCCAGGTCACCATTGGGGGTGTCTCCCATGGGCCTCTTCAGACCCCTAAATCACTGTCTTCCCATCCGAGCTACTATCTGCCCCGGCACCCAGCATGAACTCTCCTCTTCCTGTACACACCTTCTTAGTCCCAATGACCCGGGATGCAAGCCAGGCTTCACCACCTCTGCCTTCCCCTGACCACCCACAGACCTGGTCCCCCTCAGAAAGGCCTCTAGGGCCACCCTGAAACAGAGAGACAATCTGGTCATTGCTGACCTCCTTTGAACTGCTGGATCAAACCTTGCCTGAAGCAGGCTTGGTTGGCTAGCTTGGCTGTTTGAGCTGGGGAATTCCCCTTGCTGCTTTGTGTTGGGATTCCTGTCACTTGCACTGTGAGAGCCCTCATAGTTCCCCTCCTCTGGCAGTCTCCTTACAGCGCAGGGCTGCTGCCTCAGGGCCCAGAGCCCCCTGCCTTAGTTAGGGGAAGTCCAAATTCTGGCAGCAGGGATCCGATTGGCCTGGCTTGGTCAGGAGCCTGGCCCATGACCGGAGGTGGGGTGGGGGTGAGGGTGGGCAGGCTCGCCATGTTGCCTCCTACTGGTGAGTGGGTGTCATTATTCCACTTTCCGGTTGGGATATTTGGGCTGAAAGAGATGACGTCAGATAAGGTGAACTTGAACTCAGCTTTTACCTTCTTCTCTCTTCCTCCCTCTCCAACCCCCCCCCCCCATTTGACAGGAAGCTGAGGCCTGCCCTTCTAGGCCCCAGGCTCCTGGCCGCCCTCCCCACAGAGCCGGTGCCCACGCGCGCGCAGATCCACCGGCGGAAGGAAGGGCCGAGTTATCACCACTGTCCAGCGGGCCGCTGCTTGCGCAGCGTCTGCCCATTTGTTCCTGTAACAGGCCTATTCCCTTATCAGGTGTTGAGAGCGGCTCCCTGTCGCAGTAGCAGAGACATAATTTGCTTTGGGGCAGATTTATTTGTTCCACAAGTTCATTATTGTAACAGGCTGATCACCGCCGCGGCGTCCGTGCGGGCGCATGGTGCGTGTCGCCCGTCGCTGGTGCAGGCGTGGGCGCCCCCCCACCCCCCACCGCGGGCATAGGCCTCCCTTAGCGTGGAAGGCGCTTGACTGTACATGCAGAGGGCGTCGGGCTGGGCAGCGGGAATTTTATTAAGAGATTCATTTTGTGGCGGCCGCTGGTTGCTCAGCGTGTGGCTGCGTCCTCCCCTCCCCTGGCGGCCGGGCTGGGCTGGGAGAGGGACCCCGGGCTGCAGCCTCCCCATCCCGGGACCAGGAGGCCCCCTCGGGCGGGCTGGGGTCCTTGGGGCACCCAGGACCCACCTTTGGCCTGCCCCTTTTGGGCTGAGCTCTGTCCTGCGCGTGTGTGACCACTCCCTCCCTCCCAATGGTCCAGCCAGGCTGCACTCCGCATATTCCTGCTTCAGCCTTATTGCTCCTCTGGGGCCGGCCTGTAGGGGGTCCTCGCGGAGGCTGGGGGTGGGGTTCCTCCCCTGGGCTTGTTGGGGAGCAGCCTGCACCAAGTCGGGGAGCGGGGGCAGCCGGCTCTTGGAGCTGCCTGGAAGTCCAGCCAGTAGAGCGCCACCACCCACCCTGGACAGTGCCTGCTCCAGGAGGGAGGAGGGGGCTGTCTCCTTCCCACCGAGTCCGACAGGGGTGGCCACAGCAGGCTAGAACACTGCAGGTGCGCGGGGTCCCCAGGGAGACTGGTGCGTGGACACGTGGGAGACCCCCTCCAGAAATGCTGGGAGCTCTGCGGAAGGAGGAGGTCCTGCGGTGGCACAGGGGAGGACACCGCACAGCATAGGGGCCTTCAGCCTCTAGGGGCACTTCTTCCAAGAAGCCCTCCCAGACTCCCACCCTAGGATCTCAGAATGCTCTGCCCCACCCCCACCCCCGGGGCTCACCTGATGCCTGGTCAGCTCCTCCCCCTCTTTGGGGGGGGGGGGGGGGGGGCGTGGCAGGTGGCCCCTGCGGAGAGCTAATTGGACAAGATCAAAGTCCTCATTTCAATTGTCTGGCTGCAGGGCAAGAGCCTGTTGTAGGGGATGGAGGGTGGGGATGAGAGGGAGGTGCCGAGGGGGTCCCTGCAGCAGCGAGGGCAGCTGGAGCCAGGGGGTGCTGTGCGTCGTGGGGACAACTCCTCCCGGTGACTACAGTGCGGGTTCATAAAGGCCAGGACAAGGTGAGGGCGGGGTGTGGGGGTGGGGGGG